TGCTGGGAGGGAAGCTACTCCCACAGGCTGTCTAATTCACGCTATCTGATTAACTCCCCTGGCAGTGCACTGAATGTTATTTCTTTGCAACAACAAAACTCTCTCTAAAATGACCAAACAGAGATCCTGGTGCGTGGCACAGTGTGCAGTCTATCCCGTGCAGTCCTATGACCTCGGTGCATCTTACAGCACACTAGCAGCAGTGCTGGCGTTTCTTCTCTGTGCTCCTAATAAATCGTTACAAAGCACAGGTCACCAGTCACACCTACCGTCCAACCACATTCTAATTTCCATAAGCTTTATCTAACCTCTCGAAGTGACCAGCACCTGTGAAATAAACATGCCATCCTTCCTTCCCACAGGAACGCGTCAGCACCTCTACCACAGGAACACGTCAGCACCTCTACTGCTCAAAGGACAGTACTACTATCTGCTCTTGAAAAGTAAGTCAAAGGCTTCCTTCAAAACTATCTAGCCTATCTCTGAATCAAACGTTGATAGCTGAATTAATTCTTCATAAAAACACCACCATTCAGATCATCGGCAGCATCCCTGTGCACACCACGACAGAGCTCCATCTCAATTCTGTCTTTACTCATCTCAGAGTATAGATCCTCAAAGTGTTTGATGCAACAATTAGCCAACAATTAACTAGGCTAAATTAGCTACTGAACAAAAAAGATCAATTTTCCATATAATTAACATAAGCCACAACTATGAGCTTACGGTGTTTAAAGAAATACCTTGAGAGACTTTTTTTCAATATAAATCATCTAACATGTCCAAGGCAAAACGACCAGAGTGCCTGCACACACTCAACAAACACTTCCTGTCTTGAACACAAAGAGAAAGGAGTGAGCCCAGCCTGCTTCCCAATGAGCTCCGCAAAGCCTCTGACACACATGGATCTCAGGTACATTATTTCTCTTTAAATTATGAACTCATCACACATACAAATGGCTCTTTAAAACGGTCCAGTAAACTGCTACACTATGCCTTAAATTGCTGTCTATTACGTACTTAAAAATATTTACTAGCAATTGGAGGTTAATATGGCAACCATTACCAGGAAGCAATTATTGCCATTAAAAAAATATAAATACTATAACGCCATGTGCTACTAACAACAAATGCTAAACAGAAAACACATTGGCATATTATAAATATTTTTATTAAAGAAAATGAACCATCATGAAAAAGATGCTTTAAATGTATGCTTATTTAAAATATTAAAACTGCAAACTAGGAAAAAAGACTTTGTGCAGTGTTTGGGCGCTCTGAAACCTTGGCAAGTCTTCTTCGCACCTTTCCATTCCACACTTCTCCCTGCTGGCTTCTAAGTTCCCAGGAGCTCAAGTTTTCAAGTTACAACTACCTTCCTTTTCTTGGGGGGTGAAGAATTCCCGTAAGACAAAAGGAAATTAAGTCTACAACAAATCACCCTAAAAGCTTCAGATACAAAATAAATGGTCCTCAGTAGGCCGTTAAGTACTAATGGGTGTACACGTGTTTTAATTCAGTGAGGATTTGACAGCATTGCTCAATTACCTACAGTCAGGGAGATTTTTAGCAAATCAGACATGAATGTGGAGCAAACATCTAAAATTTACAAGTGTCCCCTCTGGCCCCAGTACCCAGCATACTTAAGTCTAGCCTAAAGGGCCCCAAGTGGCTTTCTCCACACTATCTTAAAAGAAACACAAAGATATCCTGAGCAGGCATCTGGGAACTATAAGGTGTCTCCCTTCAAGGGTGAGCTCAGGGCCACAAGGTACACTGTTACAGTTTCCAAAAATGAAGCTTTAGCACACTGCACGTGATGGACAGCATGAGAAAAGTTCTGTGTCACAAAGGCCCAGCCAGGCATGAACTTCCTGCAGTGGCTACAAATCTCACAGGAGGAAGAGTGAAAAACAGCACGACCCATATCATATAGATCCAATGGCCTTTCACAGGTTACAGTGGGGGTGGAGACAGACTAGAAAGGCTAGGAAACAGGACTCCGGGCAGTATCAGAAAACAAACTCAGTAAAAGACTAGGAACAAAACTCTTAAAGAGGCCTGATTGCTCGGTCAGCCTTTGCTAAGCCCTGGCGATAGCCTCGGGATCTCAGGAAGTAGTGGCTCACAGTTCCCTCCAGGCTCTACTCCAACTCACACCGCCATCCACGCTAACATGAGCTTGTGTGGGTAGTGTTCTACAAGTGACTATTCTCCTCTCAGAAACAAAACTGCAGGCCAAACTGTTCAAAACTACAAGATGTTAGGTACCTACAGCTCTTCTGACACAAAACATGATTTTGAAAAGATTATAACTGTCTCTCCTTTGATATCATCTATTCTACACAATGTTCTTTAGGCAATGTATTCTCAGTGAGATACACTGCTGTGTGTGGATGCTCCTCAGAAAAAAATTCTCAAGAATCAGAAAAAAGAAAAGAAAAAAAAAAAAAAAAAAAGACTGTTGGCAATTTGTTCTTGGATTTGGTTTTCTGTGGGTCTCTTTTTTTTTTTTGGTTTTCTAAGAAATTTTAGGGCTGGAAAGATAGCTGAGGGGTTAAGAGCACTGGCTAATCCTCCAAAGGACTGGGGTTCAATTCCCATCACCTACATGGCAGTTTACAATGGGCTCTAATTCCAATCCCAAAGAATCCAACACCCTCACACAAGCACACACGCAGGCAAAACAGCAATGCATAAAAAATAAAGTTCTTAAAAATTAAACAGCATTTATCCACTTCCACATATCAGGAAACATAAACATTCTACATTTTTAAAACCAACCTAAGCATTTCTGCATTTCAAAGGAGTTACTCAAAAAGTTCATTGTACTTTGTATTCAAAAGTCATCTTCTTGGTTTAAAGATGTTGGGGGAGAAATACCAAGAATGCAGTCAAAACCAAAGTCCAGAATCTTCCACAAAGAGTCTGAAGCACCTCATCTCTACCCCATCCCTCCCTGAAGCTGAGAGCAACGAGCTGTGAGCCAGCAGGCTTGCACTGGCCTGCACACCACATTGTATATAAATTAGCCACATGCACACAGCACTGCCCCTCAGCAGGATGCACAGTAACGTGGGAGCCCTCCCGGACGAACGCGGGTTGACGTGGTTATTTTAATTACCTGTAAAAGTGTCACTGTGGTCACCCAGCCGCCGAATTGGGGGGAAAAATTTAAATACCCTCTAGTCAATACATTTGCTGATCTATGAAGGTCCCCGAACCTAATACTAAATGACAGACAGGGGAAGTGGGGGTGGGAGAGGTGGAAAAAGAGGCAGAAGTAGTTTTATCTTCACATCAAAAGATCAAAGGTAAATTACCACAGTAGTAAAAGGAAAGAACCCCAACTTCTAACTGAATCTCGAAACTCAGCCTGGATAAAATTGGGGGTGATCAGCAATCAGCCTGCTTACAAGAGTGGAAGCAGGGGACTGGGTCACTCTGTCTTTGTAGGCCAAAATCATGCTTGAATTCTTTATCGGCATGAAAACAGAATGACACTTCCGAAGTTGGCAACAATTCCTATTTCTCCACTAGTCTCCAAGGGGAGAAAAAGCATCGATGCCACCCATAATTAAATGTAACTAATTACAATTTGAACACTAAATTATTTACCCAGTGTAAACAAGGACTGAGAGGAAATAAAGCCTCTATCTCTAGCAGGGGTTCCAGAAAATAATTTGCAATAAATGCATGCTCTCCAAAAGGCAGCACCCTCCCCGAAGCCCCTCCACACCAAAATTGGGCACACAACTTAAAATAAGTTGAGTTTTTAAGGCTAAATTAAATAGGCCGTTCAACCAATTTTCCAATTATATTCTACGCTTGAAACATAATTGCCTTACATCTGTTTACAAATCTTTGCTCAATATTTAAACAAATTCGTACTCTCCAGGGCACATAGCTCCACATACAGTAACTCAGGCACAAAGCGCGTAAAGACCACGCACTCCCATTATCAGTCTAAGCGCTGGGTTTAACAACGCGAATGTTTTCACAGCTAGGTAATACGACCCAATAAAAAGCAAAGATGGCATTTACCACCAAATGTCACTGCCACCGCCAGGAAAAGAGTTGCTGGAACCCTATACATTTTTAATTTCGATGAATCGAGCCGCCGTCGCCCGGTGCCAGGCTTCCAGAAGAACAATTGACACCCTAAATGGTTCGAGATTAAGGCAGGCGATGCACTTCCAAAGCAAAAGTTGTCAATTATCAGAGGCGAGAGCGGGAGAGAGGAGAGGCGAACAGATAAAAGCGATGTTATCAAACCGCCCAGCTTGTTGCTCGCGTGTGTGTGTGTGTGTGTGTGTTTTCCTTGTTAAGGAAGAGAAAACAGTTTTTAAAGGCAGCGGAGGAGAGCGAGGAACAGCAGCTTCCTCCACCTTCCGTGGGCTCCGAGCAATGGCTCTCCCGCTCTCCGGCATAGTAAGCCGCCGAGAGGCGGGCGGCTGTCCGTGTTTACAACCGCGCGAGCTCCGGCTGCCAGAGTCCTCTCTCCCTGACACCATCGCCTTCCATCAACTGTTTTCGGGCGAAATCGCAGGTGTCGTTGTGGAATTAAAAAAAAAAAAAAAAAGGAAAGAGAGAGGGGAAGAGAGAAAGAAAGAAAAATTCCGAAGGCAGACGCGGGCGAGCGGCCGATCCGATCCGGGGAAAGAGAGAGAGAGAGAGAGGAGAGAGGACGAGCCTGCAGATCACCCGCGCCGGCGGCTGCACAAGGCAGAGAAGCCTTCCACATTTCGGGAAGGAGGAGGGAAGAAGAAGAAGAAAAAAAAAAAAAAGAGGGGGAAGGGGAGGGGAGGGGAGGGGGTGTGATTGCCACGGAGGTGGGCGCTCCGAGCGCGCCCCGGCGTCCGCAGCGCCCCGACTTCCCCACGCACGTCCACGCCGGGCGCCGCGCTCGCCGACGCCGCGCCAGGGCTCCGGGAGGAGAAAGTTACGCGGCGGGGAGGTCGCGCCCCCCAAACCCCGGGCCCCCGCCCCGCGCCACTCACCAGCGAGAAGAGGTTGGAGTGACAATCCTCCAGGCTCGCCCCGTTCGCCACCCAGTTCGCCGCGGCGGTCATGGTCCTCCGCGAGCCCGGCCGCCAGAGCGGGGCATGTCGGAGCGGGCCGGGCCGGGCCGGGCGGCGGCTCGCGGGC